ACACTGATTTGCAGCAGCGAGGAATATCCTTAAGAACAAACATAACATATATTGGAAATTTTGGTACACTTTATAATACTCTTCCATCTGGCAAAATCAATATTTTATAAAAACTAAGAGAAAAAGCAGGGCAATCAAAAAATGAAAAAAATATAGCTCAACTATTTTCCTATCTTTTCCAATACTATTACACATCCATTTAACAAATTAGGTCTCTGGCAAAAGTTTCATTTTTTTTGACCGAACTGACCTGTCAATTTTGTCAACCAACTCAGTGGGAGAGTGTTTCATTCATTTGCTCTGTTGTCTGAGTGGAATGGCTGTGCTACCATTCCCTACACCCAACCTGGCTATATTGCAGAGGGTTTCCAATGAAGGTTTTTCAGATTATACACTCATCCAACCTTAACTCTCTTTACAGTCCAGAAATTATTTTATTATCTATCCAACAAACCTTCATTAGAGGAATAATAGAAAATTAACAGATTACCAGTAAGCCAAAATTTTTCTGAGAAATAATGCAAGTTCTACTAAAATTAAATGTTTGACTCTTGTAAAAGCTAGAGAATACTCAATATCAATCTAAAAATCACCCTTTTACTGACTGCATTTTGACTTTGACTAGATACAGCAAATTCTTGTTTGATTTGCAATACGAGGTTCTTAGGTCTTCATTCTCTGCCTCGAGGTAAGTGTAATTTTTAAAAGCTGCTTTCTTTCAGTCAGCAGTAAGAAAATAACCGATTGGGAATGCAAACTGGTGCAGCCACTGTGGAAAACAGTATGGAGCTTTCTCAAAAAATTAAAAATAGAACTACGATATGATTTAGTAATCACATTACTGGGTATTTACCCAAATAATACAAAAACACTAATTTGAAAGAATATATGCACACCTATGTTTATTGCAGCATTACAACAGCCAAGTTATGGAAGCAATATTGATAGATGAATGGATAAAGTGTGGTACATATATAATGGGATATTATTTAGCCATAAAAAAGAATGAAATCTTGCCATTTGCAAAACATGGACAGAGCTAAAGTGTATAATAAGTGAAATAAATCAGACTGAGAAAGACAAATACCATATGATTTCACTCATATGTGGAATTTAAGAAACAAAAAGAACAAAGGGGAAAATAAGACAAAACAAGAAGCAGACTCTTAACTATAGTTGAGAACAAACTGATGGTTACCAAAGTGGAGGGGGGTGGGTGGATGGATAAAATAGGTGATGAGAATTTCACTATATTATACATCGGAAATAATATAACACCATATATTAACTATACTGGAATTAAAATTAAAAACTTTAAAGAAAAATAAAAGAACCTATGCTAGATTTTTCATCTTTCAATGCACTGTGGCAGAATCCTTTACATTTTCTTCCATTCTATCAGCAACACAGATGAACAGACACTATTCAACAAGTATATTTATTAAAAAATAATTGCCCTGTTCTCTGTGAAACATCATGTGGATTACAAAAACAAAAAACAAAAACCAACAAGGTATGTATTTTCCCTTTCTACTAAGAGCGTACAACCTAAAAGTGCTATTAAAAGAGAAACGACTGATTACAAAGACTAGGAACATCTGGGTTTCAGCGTTAGTGCTCAGTCTCTCCTTAACCAAAATTTCGTTAGGCTCCTCGGAACTCTCTTCTCCACTAGGGCCTGACTTGTTGGGCTTCCTTGTTCCTCTCTGCATTATCTAATTTTAGCAAGAATCCTTTTAGCTGGGTATAGCTAGAAACCCCCTTTACCCCTGATGTAGTAATTTTCCATCCATTGACATCCCCCCCCCTTTGACCATAAATGTCTCCTTTTCCTTGTATTCAGAGTTGAGCCCATGTGCTCGCTTTGGCAGCACATATACAGAGTCGAGACCAGTTCTTTTTTTTCTTTTTTAACACATTTTGTTTTTTTTGGGGGGGGGTAAGATTTTTTAAAATTACTTATTTTTGCCAGAGAGAGAGAGAGCATCCAGGCGTCTCGAGTTGAGTCCAGTTCTATACTGAGGTCTCTCTTCCCCTATTAAAATTGCTTTAACTATTGTCAAGTTCTGGTTTTCTGATAGCACCAAACTAGTTAATTGTTCTTAAGTTGCTTAACCTTTTTGGGTTTCAGTTTACTCATCTGTAAATTGAAGGGAGATGGGAATAAAATAAACTCTAGGTACCCTTGCCAGGTCTAAAATTCTCATGAAGAAGGGCACCTGGATGGCTCAGTTGTTAAGCGTCTGCCTTCGGCTCAGGTCATGGTCCCAGGGTCCTGGGATGGAGCCCCACATCGGGTTCCCTGCTGGGCGGGAAGAGTGTTTCTCCCTCTCCCACTCCCCCTGCTTGTGTTCCCTCTTTCGCTGTCTCTCTCTGTCAAATAAATAAGTAGAATCTTAAAAAAAAAAAAAATTCTCATGAAGAAATCTGGTAGAGGAAAATGAGGTACAGAAAAATTAAGCGATTTGGACTTGCTGGAGGTCGTGGGAGCTGTGAGGCCAGGATGTCATCCAGGTTTCCTGATTCCCAGCACAGTGTTCATTTAACAAAACATTTGTCTTTACCTCAATGCTGAAACCAAAAGCCTAACAAATCCAGTGAAATGCCATGGCATCCAGCGTGCTACTTCAGCTGAAAGTGCCTCCTTCATCTTACAATCTGTTGTTCAGCTTTCTTTAATCTCTAAGCAACATTACATTTGTTTCCTAAAATCATTTTTCCTTCTGGGAATATACGTGATACTACTTTTGACAATAAAACTAGTATAAAACATAATCTTGAATGTAGATGACAGTAAAAAGTAAAAGATTTTATCCTCTCTCCCACCAATATCTCCTTTTTTATTTTATTTATTTGAGAAAGAGAGAATGAGACAGAGAGAGAGCATAAGAGGGGGGAGGGGCAGAGGGAGAAGCAGACTCCCTGCTGAGCAGGGAGCTGGATGATGAGGGATGATGCAGACTCCATCCTGGGACTGGGACCGGATCCTGGGACTCCAGGATAATGACCTGAGCTGAAGGCAGTCGCTTAACCAACTGAGCCACCCAAGCACCCCTTCCTTCTTATTTTTTTTTAAAAGTCCCAGTTTGGTTTGGAAGTGGGCCCTACTTCTTTATCCTAAAAGACTCCTAAATGCCATATGGCTCAGCAGAATGTACACCTATGATGCCAGAAGCAATTCTACATCTGACTCCAGGACTGTTTTGCAGTGTGATCTCAGCAAGATCAATTTACTTCCTCCAAGTTTCAATTACTTTACCCATATCTAAAGTGAGTTATAAAGTGATAATTAAGATCAAAGATGTGTAGTTTTAAAGTACTAAAAATCTTTAAAAAACAAAACAAACAAGGAAAAAAAGAAACCAAAAAAAACCAGACTCTTATCTACAGAGAACAAACTGGTGGCTACCAGAGGGAAGGTGGGTGGGGGGATGGGTGAAATAGGTGAAGGGGATTAAGAGTACACCTATTTGGTGAGCACTGAGTAATGTAGAGAATTGTTCAATCACCGTATTGGACACCTGAAACTAATATAACACTATGTTAATTACACTTAAATTAAAAATTTAAAAAGTATTAAAAATCGAATGAACACGGTGTTTGCATGCCATGATACAATCTCAAATATCCACCCTCTTCTAAATATAGGGCCACATTTTAAAAACTTATATTCTATTGCTGCTGCTTGGAATTTTTTAAAACCACACTAAATAACGCCACTTCCTCTTCGGTGTCTTTTTATGCCATTTTCCCTTGAGAGACAAGGAACAAAGTACCTACTTTAAAGTTAAGCAATGGGGCGCCTGGGTGGCTCAGTCGTTAAGCGTCTGCCTTCGGCTCAGGTCATGATCCCAGGGTCCTGGGATCGAGTCCCACATCGGGCTCCTGACTCAGCGGGGAGTCTGCTTCTTCCTCTCCCTCTCCCACTGCTCATGCTCGCTCTCTCTCTCTATCTCTGTGTCTCAAATGAATAAATAAAATCTTTAAAAAAAATAGTAATAAAGTTAAGCAATGGTTAGAACACACAGAATCACAACCATCTTTTCACTCCACTTTCCGGTTATCCTCTAACGGATTTAAATTTTGCTAGTAAAAGTCTAGAATGTTATGTTTTCTGTGAAACGCAAGAAACGAAATGCTACATTACCTGGTAGTGCTAGTCAGTATTTTTAACACATTTCAATTTCCTGTTCACTCGCACATTATGACATCATTGCCTTCCAGTGTTTGGGCTCATTAAATAATTGTTTCTATTTTGTTCCCTTACCTCCAATGTATATACTGCAAACGTTCCATTGTTCCCATTCACTATTTCAGTGAAGAAGTGCAATAAAAATGACTTTGTATTTGCACACTCCTTTGCCCGGTAAATACACTTTCTCTTATCGCAACTGAACTGGAAAGGTCAATTTCTCACCAAAAGGCAAGATCTCGACAAGATCAAATAGCAGAAGCAAGGCCCAGTGGGAAGGGGGGAGGAGTCAATACACCACCCAAACACGACGGATTCTAGGGCTTCCACAGATAAACAAAGGAAGTTGATTTTCCCACGACGCCGCCTGGGCTCCAACCAACCCTAAGCATTTGTGTGGAAGCCAACTGAGCTCATTACCTTGAAAACGCAGTCCAAGTGCTGAATTTTTCTAAAGGCTCCCATTATAGGTGGACACCCACCAGAAAGTCAATGGAGGCAGAGATGAGTAAGAACTGAGTGGGGCTGACCTTCGATTCCTCCTCCCACTCCACCGAAGAACCTGAACACCTACCAACCCCAACATACCAACACAGAGCTACTCCGCCGCTCAAAACACAATTTCAGGGGCAGCAGAAAGAAGGGAGTATGGGTAATGGGCTTCAGGTGCGGCGAGTGCGAGGAGCAGGTGTGAAGTTCAGAAAAGCCAAGGGCGCTTAGGGCAGCACCGAGCCGACCTGAGGGGAGTGGGCACCGGCTGCGCGCGACCGCACGAACGGCCGGGGGCGTGTTCGAACCCCTTCCTCACCTGGCAGCCCTTCTTGTGATGAAAGCCGACCACCACGATGTGCAGTACGGGCCCCCGGGGGGCGCCATCGCCTCCCCGCCCGGCCTTCTCCATGTGCTGCCGCCGCGGGCCCGCAAGCCGACGACTTCAACCGCCAAGGGCGGCGGGCCCGGCGACCCCGCGGTCCCCAGGAGGACGGCGAGCGGCGAGTTTCAGGTGTCAGCGAGGGCGCCGCATAAGGGCCGCGCAGGGGACCCGGAGGAGGCCGAGGCTCCCGCAGCTCCGCGCCGTCCCCCACGGCCGCGGCCGCGCTTCCCTCATCCGCTTCCGCTGCTTCCGGGCTGTCACCTGATGCGGCGGCCGCCGCCAGCGAGGAGGGGCGGGACAGGACCCGGAGGGAACCTGACGGGGCGGGGCCTGGGCGTGGGGCGGGGTCCTAGGGGCGTGGACACGGGGCCGGGGGCGGGGCCTGCGGGGACACATGGCGCCTCTATCCCCTGCCTCTTCCGTGCGACCCTAACTCGCTTTCTCCTTTGCCCTCTCTTTTTCCTCCTTAAAATCCCCGCCCCTTCCCTCCTCTTTCTTTAGCTTTCCTCTTTTTTTTTTAACGTCTTTTCTTGTTCACTCCCCTTTATCCAATTCCTTCATCCATTTCCTTCGCCTCTCTGGCCTTGGTAACAGGGAGTCATACTGGTGGGGCTCTATATCTGTGTATTCAATCTTTAAATTACTTCCCCAGGTTTTTTCTTTTGCTTCGTTCTAGGGTTCTTTTTTTTTTTCTTATTTAAGTATTATGTATAGGAGTTTGGAAGCGTTTCAAGACCTGAAGTAAAATATCCTTAACAATAAAGGAAGTTTACAAGGAGACCTGTAAATGATTATTCTAGTCCTGATGTTTAAAAATATATATATTATTTTCATTCTGTCTTTTTCTGGCTTTAGTACTGCGGTCAGTACAAAATAAATTTGATTTGTTGTCAACAGTATTTTTAATGTCCTAACTAATTGTACTACTTCAACTTTATTTTTAAAGACTAAAGGATAGGTGCCTGCTTCAAATAGAGTTCGAGATTACTGCTATAATTGGCTGTGAAGTTTACCATTACTGGTTGCATATCCCTTAGCTTAGACACCTTAGCAGTTATTTTACATTCCTGGCCTTGTAATTTAAGGACTTGCATTCTAATTGAAGTATAGCTGAGAAAAACAGTAGGCTTCCTATAAACCAGTTTAGTTTCTATGATTCAGTAGAAGTGTTTTAATGCTAATAAAAATATTGTAGAAAATTTTCAAGATGTTGCTACCATTTCTTTACTATATTACAAAATTCTTGGTGTTGGTTCAGAACTGTGTGTGAAACTATGTTATTCCCTGTATGCAGAATATCTTACTGTTTTCTTCCATCTGCCTCAATATTTTCCACAATTGGCATAGCCAAAATTAAAGTGTAATAGAACAGTCATTTTAAAAAGATGTAAGGGTAGGGCATCTGGGTGACTCAGTTAAGTATCTGCCTTCAGCTCAGGTCATGATCTCAAGGTCCTGTGACTGAGCCCAGCATCCGGCTCCCTGCTCAGCGGGAAGCCTGCTTCTCCCTCTCTGCCTGCTGCTCCCCCTTCTTGTGCTCTCTCTCTCTCTGTCAAGTAAATAAATAAAATCTCTTTTTAAAAAACTTTATATCTACAGTGAACACCAATTATTTAGTTCATTGTGCAGGAAACCCAGTTACAGCTTTATAAAAATCTGTAACACTTTGCATCCTAGACCTTCCAACTAAGATTAAATCATCTATTCATAACTATTATGTTGCTTAAATGCTTAAAAAGTATATTATTGGGAAAATTGGAAGAGAAAGTAAGCAAGGGAATTTCCAGAATTTTTTCCATCTCTAAATATACAGACTGGTCCATTTAGCAGTATAGAATGACAACCTTTACATTGTTTTTTAAAAAAAGATTTTATTTATTTGAGAAAGAGATAGCAAGAGAGAGTATGAGCAGGAGGTGGGGAGAGGAAGAAGCAGACTCCCTGCTGAGCAGGGAGCCGACATGGGGCTTGATCTCAGGAGGATCATGACCTGAGCTGAAGAAAGACGCTTAGCTGACCCAGGTGCCCCTTACACTGGTTTTTAAATGAGTTGTATTAATATAGAATAAAGTCACGAACAAGATACTGTCTTTAAGGACAAATAGCTATTGAGAAAAAAGTAGAAATTTCTCCTTTATTTTAACCAACTGAGCCACCCAGGCACCCGCTAAATTTCTCCTTTATTTTAAAGTGTTGGAAGATTACCAAGATTGTAAATAATTTGAGATAACAGAATACTGGCTGAACATTATTTTGAAAGGAAACTTTTGCATGTATTTTTATGATGACATTTATCTCCAGGGAAAAAAATTAGAAATGCTTTTCTGAACACATAATAAGTTGAAGAGCCTCTTCTAGTTACATATATTTTATGATGAATTATAGATTCTATTTTATGTCAGCTCTGTAAGTAAGAGCTAAGGGGAGAAAAACCCTGGAGACACAGAGCAATGACATGTTTTCAAGTTCATTAAAAATGAAGTCTCCATCTGGAATTGGACTGTTGTTTCTTTTTGCACCTTGCCTAAGGAGAGAACGTGATAAAATAAAACCACTCCAAGCAATCCCCATTAACTCTACTGTGTAAATGAACTACATCTCCTTTTTCAGAATATAAATAGACTTTTTTCTTTATCAATAGTATGAAATTGCTAATGGAAAACAAAGTGTTGACTTCCTCAAATTATGTTTTTCCTGAATTTTAAAGTCTATCAAGTAGCGACAGTGCTTTGAATTTGGTCCCTACTCTCCTTATTGGTGTGGTAAAAATAAAACAAGAATAGAAATAGAAAAGAAAACCAGGGAAAGAAAAGGGCTTCACAAACAAATTTGGCATTACTCTGTCTTTAGAATCTTAAGAAGATTAAGGAGAATATTGATGGGGATGAATAAATAGTGAGAATCAATTTAAAGAACATTTATTAGGCCCTACAGTACACCTGGAACTATGGTAGGCACAGTGCATCAAAAGAAATTGGCTCACTTGGTTAAGCATCTGTCTTTGGCTCAGGTCATGATCCCAGAGTCCTGGGATCGAGTCCCTCATTGGGCTCCTTGCTCAGTGGAGAGCCTATTTCTCCCTCTGCCTACCTCTCCCCCTGCTTGTGTGCTCTCGCTCTCTTCTTGCACAAATAAATAAATAAAATCTTTTTAAAAATTTAAAAAAATTGTTGCCTGGTCTATGTCTGGTTATAAAACAAGATAAATGTGAAACCAGCTAGCAATGCTAGCTTTGTAGCACCTACTCTAAGCCAACCATCATGTTAATAAGTATTAGGAAATAAAGATAAACAAGCAATAAAAGCTTACATTTAATGGATAAGCACTGTGTCAGTCTGCTAGCCACTTTTCATGGATTATTTCATTTAATCTTCAGAACAATCCTAAAGTAGATACTATTATCCTCATTTTTTTCCAGTGGGTATATTGACACTTAGAAAGGTTAAATAACTTGCTGAAGGTCAAATAACTAGAAGGAATTGTGGTAGGGATAGGATTCGAACCAAAGTCATTTAACTTCAGAACCAATGAATGTAACTGCTGTACTCCAAAATTCTTGACATTGAGGAACTTACAGTCTTTGGGGAGGGAGGTAACCCCCTGTAAAGATAATTATAGGAGAATACATTGAGAGCATTTTGAAAACTATTAACATTGTTGTGAAACAATGAGAGAGCCTACCAAGTCTGCAGGTCAGAGAAGCTTCACAGAGGTGGTCACATTTGAGCAGGTCTTGGAGGATGAACAGGATTTTACCAGAACTTGAGGCCAGAGCATCTGAAGTGCAATAAAGTAAAATCACTAAGGACTGAGGTTAAAGGAAAACATTTGGGAAGGGAAGAGTTTTATGCCAAAGTTAGAGGTTGAAATAAAAGTGCAGCAAAAGAGGTTTGGTGGTGGGCGTATGCTGATTGCACATGGTGTTCCCTCTGCTTGGAATGCTGTTCCTGCAGCCTTTCTGCCTATCCAATTCTTATTTATCTTTCAAGACTAGACTTCTGTCAATTCCTTTGTGAAACTTCCCAAACTGTCTATGTGGGCAAGTTATCTAACCTCTCTGAGCATGAATGTTCCATTTGAACACCTGTCTCACAGGATAGTCATAAAAATTAGGTTTAAGTGTATCTGTAAGTTTTCTGGCACATAGTAGATGCTCAATATTTATGAAATGCATAAAAAGCCAGAATTGGCTTGGTGTTTAGAAGGCTGAACCCTAAGAAGTTTTGAACTGAAGGAGCCATCTGTTAGGACTTCTGAACCTTCTTACATTTTCCTTAAATCATACCAAGGATCTCTAGTTCTCTGAGGTTCCTGAAGCTAAGAGGTCTTTTGCTTTATATATTAAATTTTATATGCCTTGTACATAATGTTCGTTAGTAGTCTTTCTCCCCCATTCATCCTTAAGTTCCTACAAGGGCAGAAGATGTAGTTCTGTTTTGTACACTGTTTTATACTCAGCAAAAATGCCAAATAGTGTGTAACTAACGTCTATTTGTTCAATGAATGAATGATGGATGCATTGCAACTTTCTGGTCTCCTGTTTAGACTCTTCGCCTTTAAATTCCTGGAATACAAATATAAAACAGATTTAAGGCAGAGAAGTTGCTTTCTATTCTTTTCAAAACAGAAGTGCAAAAGCAGGTTTCCTAAGTGTGATGACATTAACAGAGAGTGACATCTGCTGGTTGCTTGTTAGACAAGACAGTTAAGTGTTAAAAAGTGAATAATAAAGTGTAATAAATTAGACTCCTAGATATGACAAGGTAAGAATGATAAAATAAGGTAGTAGAAATAAAAAGAAAACGTGTTTTAAATTTCCACCCTAGAAAAATTAAAAAAAAAAAATGCTGGTTGTGGGTTTTCAATTCACTGGACTTTTAAAAGAAGCAGTAGATTCTTTCTCTCTCTCTTCTTTAAGTAGGCTCCCTATCCAGCGTGGAGCCCAACGATGGGCTTGAACCCACAACCCGAGATCAAGATCTGAGCTGATATCAAGAGTCCAAGGCTTAACCGACTGAGCCACTCAGGCTCCCCAGGAGGAGATTCTTTCAAAAATGGTTTTTACAAAAACTGCAACACAGCCAACTGGTGGCGGAGAAAATGAATTGATTCGGTCTGAAAAAAGATCCTGACTTGAGATGAGATGCAACTTCAAAGGGGGCAATAAGACGACTAAAAGGTTGCCGTATTTTGCAAAACCTTCCGGGTTACAGGAAGACTTTATTCCCAAAGCAGGATCCCTCTAAAGTCTGTCGGAAACTGCCTGGG